GGAAACAACCTTGCCGTTGTGCATGCTTTGCATGAGGAGTTAGTCCTTGCTGAAGTATATCCAATGCAAGTGCAATCAATTACTTATGTGTACACTAGTGATTAAAGTGTCTGTGACTGGCTGTATAAGTGGCAGCTTGCTTATTGAAATTATAATGATTAGATCTGATTTAAAATCCCATCTTTGAGGAGAAATCATCTTTTGGTCTGCATGCACTATTGCTCTATACTTACACTTCTGCTCTGCAAAACCTATTGATAAAACAGAAAGTTGAGCTGATCCCCTAGTTGGGAAGTTGAGAATGCAGAGGATCTCTTAACTAATTAGGTTGTAAAATTTTCACCGTCCAATTCCTTGATAAATCTGTGTTGAATTCGGTTATAGGGGTTTTCGACTAGTAGGGTGCAAAGGGGCAATGCCTTTCAAAAGGGGGAAGATGTTCCGCTGGACAATTAAACAAGTAAATAAACTGTGCAGGTTGACTGCCAGTAAGAGTACTTATATAACTGAGTCCGTGAGTTTTATAATGATATCTGCAATATGTACAGTTTGGAAAAAGTGAAATTGATAGTTTTCATAGCTGACCTCATCATTCTTCTATTTATTGCAATCTCCTAGTGGAATTTATTGCATATTTGCAGTGTAATACCGGCTGGTACGGGGCAGATTGCAGTATTCCATCTGTTTTATCATCCATTACAGAATGGCCCCAATGGCTTCGACCAGCTCAGGTAAGTGTTCCTGAAAATGCACGTGTCACGGAGAATCCTCTCTATCTCGATGCTGTGGCGGAAAAGAAAAGACCCCTCATCTATGTTTATGATTTGCCACCAGAGTTTAACAGTCTACTCCTGGAGGTCAGAATACTCGATGATAACCACACCTGATGCTTTCCCCATTGTAGAGCAAGTTCTTTACGTATTTGGATTGCTTTGTTGAGCATTGCAGGGACGGCATTATAAGCTTGAGTGTGTAAACAGAATCTATGATGACAGGAATGCTACAATATGGACAGATCAGCTGTATGGTGCACAGGTATCACTTGGGCCTTCTTGTGAAACCAGCTTACAAAAAATTGTCAAAATCATCTTATTAATGAATGACACTTTAAGATGCTTACTGTTTGCAGATGGCTATCTATGAAAGTATATTAGCTAGCCCTTATCGAACATTAAATGGTGAAGAAGCTGATTATTTCTTCGTTCCAGTTCTTGATTCGTGCATTATAACTCGTGCTGATGATGCCCCCCACTTGAGCATGCAGGTATAAAAGGACTCAATTTATACAATGCCTTTGAAATCTTGCATGTCCTACATTTCCTTGCCTTGGTTGCTTATGTTCTTAAACAGGATTTTGCCTATGTTATTGTGGCTTTATCACTTATCAAAAGCCAAATCAAAGCCTAAAATACTTGGTCTTTGTCTTCTGTGTTTTTTTTGACCTTTGTCTTCCCTGTTAAATGTTCAAATAGCAATCAAATGACTATTTAAGCCCGTGGTTCCATTACTTGGGGTTGGCTTCTCGAATGCTTTCAACATGATCTTTTAGCCAGACTCATATTCTTTGGAAGATGATGCACTCTCATTGAAGTCAAAATTTTTTTTTTCTTGGAAATTGAATTGCAAACTTACCAACCTGTCATCCACCAAGTTTTTAAGGGTGATATTTTTGTGTTCAGATTGCTGGAAGACTAACATTTCCCTGTAGATAAGAGAGTTCAAAGTTCACTTTCATACAAAAACTGACTTACAACTATAAAAAGGAGCCTAGGAGAAACGCTTAAGGTATGCAACTATGTTTTTAAACATTGTCCTTTATTTTTCATCAGTTACTAATTTAAGAATCGGATGATCCACTCCTAGAGCTCCCCCTTTCCAGTTTTCGACTTCTTTTCAAGTTTACCCACACTTTGAAAATTTTGCTTGGAGCCTAAGAGAGCTTATTCAAATATCCAGAAAGCTGACACAAAGGCAAATAAAGTTCATTTTGACCTACATGGATGTTGTGGTAAATTTTGTACTAACATTTTGACGTCGTATGTGGAAATTGATAGAAAATTTCCTTCCAAAATCACAACCCATAAAGAAAAAATGACTTTGAATGGTGACTACCATTTGATGGATCAAACTAATGAAGACACCTTCAGACTAGCCAGAGACACTTGAATGAGATAACCATAATCGAGACTCTCCTAAAGCCAACAAGCAGCAAGAATCTCAAAGGGTGCTCAACTTGGAACAAAATTAGAAAGGAATGAATCAGACCATTGAGGATTGGCCAAGTAAACCCAACAAATATTGGAAATGCTTACTGGCCAGCCCCCTCAACAGTTCTCTCATTCATCTGGAACTCGGGGTTGCCAAATAGGAAACACAAGAGACGAGCATAGTCATAAACGACACTCCTCGTCAACAAGAGGAAAAACAACTCTCTTAATCAAAAGTTCAAGGAGGTCAACAATCGTATTGAAGATGTACTAAACACTGTTAAAGCAGAGGCTCTAAAACTGTAGAAACTCTCACCATTCCATTCTTTTGTTGCTCTATTACTACTTTTCAAGGGTCATGCAATTATCATTCATTAAAATTGCATTGGTGTTGCACATAAGAATGTGATTCAATGAGGCCTTGGCTTGGCACTTGTTTTTTGGCCGTTTTAAGCCGTGTTAACGGTTGATTGGGATCTCTCTTTTTGCTTACTGTTGTTCGTTCATTCGTTGTTCAGTTTGTATGGGACAGTGGTTTCTGTCTTAGTAGTTTCATTGATTTCTGATGTTGCTGTGCTAGTAAAGCCTTTTTTTAAGCCTTGACAAAAAAGCCGTGGCCCATGGGCTGAATTCAAAGCCCAATAATTTATTGGGCCATAATAATGGATCATTTTGGTGTGTTCATGTCATATCCTGTTTTTGTCACGTAGAAGCCTTATGTAATTTAGATTCTTGTCGGCCAATTACTTTACGAATCAAACAGATTTACCTATTTATTAAAGAATATAAAAATGTGTACATAATATACAATAGATAAATCAGAAATATGCATTTATTAAAAAATACATATATTTAATCTCACATAATTATTTTTTTATTTACTTTTTCTCCTAATTTTAGAGGGTTAGTTGTTGGTGAATTAAAAAGAAGGCTAGTCCATTATTTCTATTTTTATTCCTTATCATATATGATATTTAATCTATTTTTCTATTTTTTTTTCCTTTCATTTTTTCATTATACCAAACAAAGAATTAAAAAACTTCAAAGAAAGGCCCTTCGAACGATTGATTCAAAAATTGATTTTCCAAGAACTTCGATCCTTCAAATTCTGTTAGATATCTTAATTAACAAAAAAGCTCGACGACGCTCCATTAGCGGTCCAATGGAAATTAAAATCTCTCCATCATCTTTACTCAATTTCAATGGTAAATTTATTGTGTTGGTGGAATTGGGTGAAAATGTAATAGAAAAAATCTTAATATGCGACTCTCCTTCTAAAGTCTCACTATTTTGCAAGTAAGCCTATAAATAGAGGTTAATCATCCAAAAAAAATTAATATATATCCCATTGATCTCATTTGGATTCTAATCAAAATTTAATTCATTGACCAAGGTACTTGATAGCTATAAGAGATAACTCTAATAATAGTTCAAGTGGTAACAACGATGAATTGTAAACAGGCGATCACATTGTAAATACAGGTCAACTTTTTTTTGAATTATCTATTGAAGTCAGCAAAAAGAAATTGAATTTAATTATTTTCATGTATGCATCTCTCTCTCTCTCTCTCTCTCTCTCTCTCTACAAGGGTTATGTGAATTTCATTTTTCAGATTGGGCAAAAAGGAACAGAAAAAAGTACTTGTCATGATCAATTAGAGACCACAGTGAGGCCACTGTATCTGGGTCTTGTTCTATCTGATGAAAGCCCTTCATCCATGGCCTTCCTCTTGTTATTATTACTTTGAGGTTGTGGTGGTTGTGATTGCTGTACCTCTGGTGTTTCTGATGCTTCTTCTTCTTGTTTTGCTGGCTTTTCATGATCTTTGAATTTGGCTTTCATCATATGGGGTTTAAGCTTATTGACATCTGATAGTCTCACTGGTTTGAGAAAAAATTCTTCTGCTCCTTCTTCTAAACATCTGCAGATAAGATTTAACAATATCCACCAATCAATTTCCAACATTTCTACTGTTTCCAGTAAATAAAATCCAATCACCTTTTTATATGATGGCTGGTTTGAATTGGATTTGTTCTTACCTATTGATCCTTGAAGGAACATTTTCAGATGACATAATCACTACTGGTATGTTTCTAAGGGATGAAGATTCCTGCAAAACATAAGAAAGTACATTGAATTTTATTAAATCTGTTTGTTTCCAAGAAAAGTAAATGTCCATAAATTTTTTCCCCAGATCCGTTAAAATTCTTTTTACTTTTCATCATCAGAATTGTTTGTTTGGATGAAAAGGAAGTGGGAAAGATTTTCCACAGATTCTCATTGTTCTCAAATGGATGGGTAAGAAATGTGGCTACAGTTTGGTTAGGAAAGTTTGGTCATGGCATATTTTCCACGAAAGGAAAATGTTGTAGCTGAGAAAATTTTGAGTTGATGTGCAGAATATGACAGGAAAACAGCAAATAGAATAAAAACCAACCAATCATACCTTTATTTTCTTGAGCAAATCATAGCCTGTCATTCCAGGCATGCAGTAGTCTGTAATAATCAAATTTACTTCCACTTCCTGGAAAATCAAAGAAAATTTTCAGAAAACCAGAAAAGTAGAGGTCACTGGAA